TCGTGTGTGTGTGTGTGTGTGTGTGTGTATGTATATATATATATATATATATATAGCACATAAAAAGATTGTTTTTGCTGATACAGACTAACAGGGCTACCACTCTGAAACCTGTCACCCTCATGGATATTAGTAAAGTAGGTGGAAAACATAGTACAACAGTGCCACCTTTCTGATGGTCATATTACTACATGACTGAACTGTGGAGCTAATGAGACTTTTCTAGTTGTAGCTCTTTCACAAAGTATCGAAGCAATGGCACAAAGCAGAGGGTAAGTTCAGCTGCCAATACGTGCACAACTTGGGAGGCATGGGGTAGAGCTGAAGTGCAAAATAGAGTAAGATGAGAAGGAAAGGAAATGTAAAGACTCAAATTTTCTCTGACAGACATACATGCTCTCTCTCTCTCCAGCTCATGCAAGACGACAATTGCTATACCAGTAATAGTTCCTATTTAACCCCATGTCGGGACTGGCACACATTTTTATTGTTATGTTGGTGTCCTTTGCAGGATAGTGATTCCTATATGATGCTACAACTTCAGTAAAAGTGTCAAAAGTACCACTTTCCAAGTGAAGCAATTCTGAATGCGGAAACAGTTATGATTCTGGGGAATGTGCTATATATAGGTACAATGTAAGTCTAGACCTTTGGGACTGAAGGCTAGGGTGTTAGTGGGTAGGTCAAAGGATGTTACAAAAGCGTTCCTCACTCTTAAGGCTTCATACCACAGTTTTACACGTCAGTGATCTCAGTGGGTTGATGTAACAAAACAACAGTTAAAAGCAGAATACTCTGGAGGTGGAGGAAAGATCAGGATGGTGTGAGGTACAGGAAAGAGAAGTAACCCAGACTCTTACATTAGAGAGAGAGAACTAAATAGCCATGGTTTATATTGGTTAAAAATAACAGGTGTTAAAACAGCTAGTGCCAACCTTCAAGAATTGATTTAACATAGAAAATAGTTTCTTTTCCTATTTTCTGTCTGCATTAGGTCTCCTAAGTTATTAGTTTAAATAACTCTAGAACAATCTAGGCTAATAGTGTCTGTTGTTAACAGCCATCAAGTTCAAAGGCTTTGGGTCTCCTCCCCAGTTAACCTGGTTCCATGCTAACTGCAGTAGCTGTTAATCACTACTACATAATCCCATATCAGATATCTAGTTCAATTAGAGATGGTTGAAGAAAATAGGTGAACAGATTTGCCAATATACCACTTTATTTTTAGTCAAAATTCAAATTTTTCATGAAAATCTCAATGTTAAAATGTTTAACTCTAATTGACACCAAGTTATTGGATTAATATCTTTATCTTTCCTGCACTAACCTAAGCTCATTCACTCTTTACCACACTGCAATGAGAATCTGTATATGGAACATTTTATTGCTAAGGCAGAAAGGCCACATTTTGAAATTGCTTCTCCCTGACTAGCATGTTCGCAATGAACTGTTTATGAAACACTAGAATGTTACAGAAGGTGTGAAACATACTAACTTAATATGTGACTCACTCAGGTTCATATTCTATAGTCCTTGAATAATTCTTGTGGCTCTTCTCTGTACCCTCTCCAATTTTTCCCAACATGCATTTAAAGTGTGGACATTAGAACTGGAGACGATTCCAGTAACAGTCTCACCAGGGTCATATACAGAGGTAAAATCACCCCCCAGGACTACCCTCCCTTCCTCATTTTATGCACGTTCTCATACAACTTCATGTTCAATCTGATAGTAATGTACAAATTTACACTTACGAACAGATGAATCCACCAATCCAGAGTTTATTATTCTTTGATTTTGTTTCGTTTTGAAACCTTACGGCAACTTTAATCCAGAATGCTGTTTTAGACTGTCTAAATAATATATGGCTTTATAGTGAAATGTTGATTGGTGCCTGTAGTGCATTCTGCAGTGATAGTACCTGATTGGTTAAGGTTGAAAAATGTCACTGCCTCAATGCTGGGCACAGTTTCAGATGACTACTTTTACCCACAGTTTGTAATTCTATAAATGGTGTGCTGGACCAAACAATTTTCAGTCTTTCATAGCAATCTACCTACAATCAGACTCCCACAATTCACTTTGAGTTGGGTGCATTTCTTGACATTCAGATAAAATAGTCAAGATGCAAGATATTCAGGGATTATTTTCAAGTTAACGGTTACAACAGGTGGTCTAGATGAATTTTCCAGGTGTGTATGCTTGTTTCACGGCTGCTGCCATAGATGACTCTCTGAGGTTTCTAGAGCATTCACTATTCAAGGCCTTGGGATAGCTGGTTTCATTACAGTTGTTCTTATTAAATCTTGCAGTCTTACATAAAACTTTGGAATTGCTGAAAGATCTCAGAAGTGATGTGAAATGAAACATGCCAGGTACATGTCAAGCATTTAGTCTTTTCAATTTTCCCAGAGAATATCATCTCTGCATTCAGTGATATTGAGGATAGAAGCTTCTATGAGATTATTTGTCCACAGCCAGTCAGAGGCAATAACAAGAAGAAAAATTGTGCTCAGTTCTTTGTATCTTGCAGATAATTTAGATAGTATACAACAGCATTCAGTTGTCAGGATATATAGAATGTAGCATTATCATCACAACTCACAGTATTAGACCTGCAGACTTTTCATCATGAAAATTCCATTCAAGCCTTGCCACTAAAGCTTGCATTTCTGAGGAAAACACAGTCTTCAATTATTTAGATTTCAGAAAAGGGAAAGGGGCAAAAGGATTCCACCTCAGTTTAAATCACGGATGTTGACTCTGAATGCTTTACCTGGGATAAGTGCTGAATGTAAGAGGACTCAGTTGGGTTGCCTATAGAGAAGTTTGTTCTGTCATCTCATTTTCTCTCGTGGAGCATATTTTGCCCTACTGGTAGCAGTATTTCATGGTATATTTCCTTTGCCATTAGTATTTGTGACGGGTTGGATCACAGAAACCCCCTTGGGAGCTGCCACCCGATGTGCAAAGACTACCCCTGCTTCTGTTTTCCCTGCCAGCTCAGGACTCCAGCACCCTGTCTTGCTGAGCCAGACACTCCTGTTTGGCTCCAGACACAGATCCAGGGTCTGAATCACTTTTCCCAAAGCTGCAAGTTTACCCAAAA